AAATAAACTTAATTTTCCCCGAAGCAAGAATTAAGCTCGCCACTGGAGCTATGAACGTACGCATATAAATTTAACATGTGGCAAAAGAAAACAGTAACACAAGTGAAATAAAATGAAAATAAAATAAAAAACGAAAAATAAAAACAAAAACAGTAAAATAAAAAGAATCAGCGTCTGTTCCCGGTTTTAATGCCGCATTGCGTGTCTGCGTGGCATGACTTTGTGGTTTATCGGCCTTTATATACTCCACGCGACTCTGTCTGTACTAATGGTATATAAAGTTTGTATGTGTTAACAATATTCTGCAAGCTAAGTTTCCCCTACATACTGAATTGTTATTTTGGTTTTGCCACTTTGTTGTATGCATTTTTTTGCGCTTTTTTTCAGTTTGTGCAGACACAGTTCAACTTTTAGCTCTACCTTCAACGGCATTTGACTGTCTAACTGTCGCATTTTATGTTGAATCTCATAAAAAGATCAAAGAATTTAATTATTTTTGCTAATTTTTTTATACACAGGATATTGTGTATCACAAGGCTGTTCACTATTATCTTTTAGTTAATAATTTTTATGTTATTTTTATGAAAATGTTTTTTACAAGGTAACACAAGTACATATCTTTTATACCCTCTTACTTCCGGTGCGCTGAAACTAATTTTCTTTGCCAGTCCCAACAGCTGAATACTTTAGCTTTTCTGGGATCTTTAGAAGAGGGAATCTAAACTCTACAATTCAACCATCAATCCTATCATATCGCCTTGTGTAGAAACATAGCTTAAGCTCTATTCAAATCCATTTAGGATTCACAATCTATACAAAGCTATATAGAAACTTAATGATTCTGATTCAGAGGTGCTGAGGGTCGAACATAATTTTTTATTTTATTTCCAGAATAAAAAAAATACGATGATTTAAAGACTAGTGATACTATAAATATATTCTATTATATATTTTTCCACAGTCTACTTCATCTTACCACAAACTAAAGCGTTCATTAAAGCGATCAGTGGTTGAAGACAACCTTGAAATGTAGAAATCCTACTTGCATTTCTACTAACTGATTTTATGAGATTTTTCAAGTCCGCCTTTTATACGTTTTCATGTTTTCTTACTCCGTTGTGTCTACAATTATTGTGCTGGTATTTTCTACTTCGACTGCTGTTATTCGCAGCTTTCGACGGCAGTCATTAGTGGCCAACGACCTTTTTTATGGCTTTTCGCAATTAAATAAAAAATGAATAACCTACGGAGGCAAACAGTAGTGGAGAGAAGGAGAGAATGTCTGATATATGTAAGTTAGCAGCCGTCAGTTGTGTGACGAATGGCAGAGGCAGCACAGACAGATATATAGAAACTGCCAGGCAAATGTAGACAAAGCGGCTGGCTGTAGAAACACTGAAAAGTTAGAAAGGTAGAATGGAGCCTTATACGAGTAAATCCATTGGAGTAACATAGCATACACTCACATGATTTTATAGATATAAACATAAAGGGTTACGTATGCATAAGAGCTCATATTATATATTATAAATATCTATGTTTGGGTTGTGCTCGTGCTGATGTGTCTGTGAGTGAATGAATGACCGACTCGTCGTCGAGTGAATGTAAACAAAATATCCTGTGTTGCCATTCCAGATTTATGAAAAAGAGCTTAGGGGGGTAGAAAATGTATGTATCTTACCGGCCATTACATGAAAAGTATTGGATTTTACATTGATGACATCACTTACGCACAGAAAACTCGCCACAATTGAATTACATTGGTGGAGGGAAAAGTCGAACTGAAATTCGATTAACTCACATGCAATAATTTTTTATATTTATTTCTTTTTTTTCACCTCAGGCCACCTTATCCGGCTGACGGACTGTTTGATTATTTTTGTAATTTTAACTTTACCGCATTTCAGACACACATATATTTGTTTATGTGTATGGACTTGTGGCTTTCCTACTTTTGCTATAGAAATACTGTTATTACGATTGTAATCACATGTCTATTACCGTTATATACAATACCGCAAAATAACTATATGTGAGGAAATACGAAGATACTCACGCTACCCAAAACCACATCGAATAAAAAAGGTAGACACAATAAACGGCAAAAAAAAAATCAAAATATTGCATATTTGCTTTAATCCTTACGAGCAATTTTCACCCTCTTTTCATTGAGTAAATAGTTTATTATCGGCAACACATCTGCTGAGGACGTAAGAAAAATCAATATTTGTTGCAATCACATTTAATTTCAATAATTTCAATCAATTGAATTCAGTCCTTACCATATTCAAACTGATTTAGAGAAAGGGCAACACTAAAAGAGAAGTTGCCGATATTGAGCAACAAAAGTTTTCACGTTGGAACCAAGACTTCATAACGGAATTCAGCGTAAAATGTAGTAGACGCTTTCATTTTCGAAGCGAAAAATTACGAAAACCATTCAATAGATGTGTAGAGATACTACTTGAAAATTACGAGCTTATGGTTTATATTGTCGAAAAATGTAATAGAGACCGACATTCAATATCACTCCAATAAACGAAGCATGGTAGAGGTGAAAACAGTCAATGGAAGATGTAGTATACTTTCTATGTAACGCTAAATTTGTCGGATGTAACTGACCAAGCTGCCTATACCTAGCAGTATTGTTTCTTACTATGTAAAGCAAAGGTGTTTAAAAAACCAGAGTTTATACAAGTATCCAAAATGAAAGCAAACGAGCGAAGAGAGCTTACTTTCGCTTTCGAAGTAATATTATTTTAAGGTTCAGGTGTAAGAAATGTACTCTACAGTACCATTCGAAGCTCTCGAGCAATAGGGTTGACTTATAGAGCTACATAAAGCTAATATATACGGATAAGATCTCCGAAATATGGTAATAGTGTTGTGGCATTTGACATAGGGCTGTAAGGAAAAGAAAGAAAGTAAAATATGATGATGCCAAACTGCAAAGGTCGGTGGTTGATGGAGTATGATCGATTTTAAAGGAGTACCTCAGACGCTGGATATCAGGGATCTTAAGCCAAAGAACTGTAGTTAGTTGTCCGCTGATCAACCAATTTTCCTTAAAAACGAATAATGGAATGATAACTTGAAGTATTCAGAAACCAAAATTTTACGACATAAAAGGGTTTTAAAGCTTTAGTAAATTTCCTTTAAATTTAGCATTACTCACGCATGCCTGCTACGGAACAAATTAAAATTGTAAAAAAAATATGTATTCGTGTGAGCAGCGGTCTGGAAGGTAATTTCATCGGCTTTTAGGTCAATCGCTTAATTGCGTGCCTTACATATGTTGCACTTTTAAATATACCCGTTCTCCACTAACACGTACTGCCTCGAGCCAAGGGTTACCGCCATGTCTGCTCCTCAATGCGTATATGTGTCAGTGTATCGCTGAGCGATCATAATCACTGCCTCGAACACGCAATTCCGACATTTATCAGACGGCGTTGCACAGCGTGTGCGGCTGAACTTGGGTTCTAGAGTCGGACAAAATCTATTGAGGCGTCTGGCGTGCTAGTTTCTGAAGACTTGGTCGCTGAAAATGTGCCAAAATCACAACACTGGTCACATGCCACATGCACGACAACTGGCTCCACACGCTTGGACAGTTAGTGAGAGAAAAATGCATTCGCACGCTGAAGGGTCAAAGTGTGCATGTCCCGTGGACTAGCGGCCTAGAGTAAGTTGCAAATTAAACGAGAACCATTTTTTGACGAAAAATTGTTTTCAATGTTGTAACAACAACAACAATAGGTAGTGGCCTTTAAAGCTGGGTGGTACCTAGTAGTGTCCGGTTAATTTGGCTGCTCTAGTTTAATGGGTCAACGCAGCAAAACACACACACGCATACACATTTATATACACACAAGACAGTAAATGCAACTCTGTACCAAGCAATTGCTAATTTGTCCACTCACCACATCGAAAGTAGGTTAATGCTTTTTGAAAGGCAAACACCAGCTGAGTAGACAATATTGTAACGGTGTGTGGGCGGAGTGGGGTAGGAAACGTCATTAGCGTGGGGGTGGTAAAGTTCGAATTCTGTTATTTTAGCTATGCAGCGCTTTATGACAACAACATCATACCGGATATAGAAATATATATACAAAAAGCTTAGTATTTACAGTTTCTACAATATAAAAAAAACGCACATACACTAGGCAGAAAAAGTCTGCGTAAAAGGTACCAACAAAAGTAAATCGTTATGAAAAATAATTTTATATACTTTTAAAAAAACCAATTTATTAGATGTTCACTAAAGGATATTAAATATGTAGGTTTATGAAAATAAAAATAAATTTTTGATAATAACATAGCAAAACATGTCGACGAATAAAAAAATCAATTAGAAAAAGTCTGCGTAGAGGGTACATAAGTCGAGCTATTCTTCCACTAAATTCTTCTTTAAGTTTAATAGATAGACCGTGATCATATCCTTTAAGGTAATTGTGCGTTAGCGTATTTTACGTTCCAGTGAATCCCATAGGTGTTGTAGAGTCACCAAAGCCTAACTATGTCTATACTGTATGCTTCGGGTTGTTATCCTGTAGAATAGCAGTCACTTCTACGACACAATTCTTTCGCTCTTTGTCTTTCGGCCTTTGATTCTAAAGACCCAAAACTTGTTTTCATCGGACAAAATAACCGTATGTCAAAACTCCCAGGGCCTGTTTAAGTGAATCGTCGATATGAATGACTTCCTTTGTGCGACTTAACTATTAAAAGCTGCCTGTTTTTTTAATTTTCGAATCGTGTCAGTGCAAAGGGATTTTTTGTAGTTTTCTTAAAATTTTGAGCGATTTTCACATAGTTACGTGTTTTTCTGTCGAGTGTATGTATGTACGCACCTGCGTTACCTGTTTCAACTTTTCCTAATTAGCAGCGGAAAATGCAATGGCGCACTAGTTTGATTTCCGGAATGAAAGTTCTAATAAAAAGTAGTTGATATGTACATAATTGTGTGTATGTATGCATAATTAATTAAATGTAAATACCTTTTAGAAACTTCTATCCCCAAGGAAGTCGAGGAAGGAAGTATAAATAATATGCATACAAAGTTATTTTTGCGTTAACAATGCTCTTACTTATGCCAAACAGCTCTGATTATTTTTGAACATACCTGCAAGGAAAAAGAACAAAAATGAGTTTAGTTAGTTTGCAGACGAAAAAAAGAAATCAATAAAAAACATTATTTTTAATACTAGTTATTTATTTGCTATTACAAATAGCCTTCTGGTGTGAACTAATTGGATACACAGTAACATACATTAATACATTTATTAAAACTATTTTAACTATCAAAAATAAAAAACACGAAATATAAATTGAAAATTAAACAAAAAAATAATAATAATTAATGCATGAAAAGTAGTAAATAAAAATAACATAAATAAAAATAAAAGTAATAAAAACAAACTAAAAAGATTAAATAATTAATAAAATTACAAAAATTAATAATAGTAAAAAAAATTAAATAATCAATAAATAAGAAGCAATAAAAACAAAGGCTAATAATGAAAACAATATATTTAAAAATTAAATAAAATTTTAATAATAAAAATATAGTAAAAAGAAATTTAAAGGAAAAATACTATTCAAATTTAATACATACTTGAAGAAATGGTAAATTTATAAAAAAAAAAAATGAAATATGCATAAATTGAATTAAATTATAAATAAAAACTTTAAAACAATATATTATTCAAAGTACTTATTATAAATAAATAAGTTATTTTTATAAAAGGACGAAGAATTAATTTTTGCGCTTTCGAAAAGAAATAGATAATAAAACAAGAAGCTATATTCTATAATAGTCCGATATCGGCCGTTTCGACAAATGACCAGCTTCTTAGTTAGGAAAGGACAGGTTCAAAATTTCAAATGGATAGCTTAAAATTTGAGGTACTAGTTTGCATATATACAAACAGACGGACAAGGCTAAATAAACTCGGCTCATCATGCTGATCATTGCTGTATATATTTTATAGGATCTCCGACGATTAATTTTGGGGGTTAAAAATTTCGTGGCAAACTAAAACTTTTGTTTTATTTTTATTTATTTTACTTAACTTTAACGTGATTGTTTGCTGTTGCATGCAAAAAATACGTACAATTTCGGAATTCTGGCTTATCGGTGCCCTAATTTAACTAGTTTATGCTCCTAGTTAGGTAACACTGTAGATGTACATATGTCTATAGTTCTGCCCTAAGTTAAAGCTATTGGACTTCTGTTCGAATCTATGAATAGGTATTTGTTTATAGATAATCTTGATACATTTTGATATACAATTTGTTATTCATTATTTCTTATTTAAAATTATTCTTTAGAAAAAAATTTTAAATGAGTTGAATAGTTTCAAACTGTTTAAAAGTACGGAAATGCGGTTAGCATTAAAAACTTTGAAATTGCGCAAAAATATTTCAATTCCAGCAAATAAATATGAATATTTGTGCACGTGTAACAATTTTGACGTCTATTTACACACAAACTTAGAAACAAATGAGTAAGCAAAAAGTTTTCGAACTTGTTTGCTTGTTTTAGCCACTTTTCCATAAAAAAAGTTTGCTAACACTGTAAGAAAAATAAATTGGAGAAACTTGAAAATAAGTTCGAAATGAGGCGAAATTAGTGCAAATTTGTGTAAATAAATGTATAAAGCGAATATAGGAGTGTAGTCAGCGTATATATGAATGGATGAATGTATGTACAAGTATGTATAAAAGTACAAAAATGTGGTAAGAAAACAAAAAGAAAAACATTTTTTTTAGTTTAAAATCTTACAATTTATTTAAAATATGTGCATTGTGTTTTTATATGCATACCGATTCTTATATTTATATTAAATTCTTGGATTTTCTCTTCGAAGAAAATCGTTCATTCACACCGATACAGCGATCACTTCTAACTAAGCGACAAAAGAACAATCGCTAAAATTAGAACATGCATGTAAACTCTGCAAGGTTGGTTCAAAAACAATCAACTTTAAAAGTAGTAGTTTAAAAAACCTCAACGGTATCGAATCTATAATAACCTTCACATGTGCATTTTTTATAGCAGGGGGTATAAAAAGATCTTTATCTTGATTTTGATTGATCAGTTTATTTGGCAGTTATACCTATACTACAGTGGCCGATTTGAACAATATGTTCGGAGATTGTAGCGATGCTTTAGATAACAATCGATCGACCAATTTGAATGCCAGCTATATGCTATAGTTGTCCGATATCGTCGGTTCCGATAAATATTTCTATCAACTAAATGTACATGTTTTTCCACTTATTAATAAATGGTGTCTATGATATGTCGGACTTCCGAGTAATACAGATATCTCTTTAATTTGAGGGACAAAAACTCTAGTAATTTACGTTTTACCTCTTTTAACTGCATTATATGTCTTACAGGCATTTATTTAAGTAAACACTGATTTTAAAGAGAAACATGTTACGTTATTAAATGATGTCAATCAAGAAAAATTTGGAAAAGTGGATTCATTTTCGACTAGTCTTCTGGTGTTTGAAATAATGAAGATTCTAAATAAATTTCAGAAGATGTTTGAATAAAGTCTTACATTAAATAAGCTCCAGAAAATAGTGAATTTTGATTTTGCGGTCTGTAGTAAAGTAATATCTCGACAAATTAACAATTATATTCATAGTATGTATTAAAAGTAAGGCAGGGGGATTTATTGGTGTTTAAAACTAATGCCGTTTATAAGTACTAATCTCTAGTTCGAAGAATTGAATCTAATTTAATGTTACGTAAAAAGTCAATACAAATAAATATCCCAAGCCCTTTTGACGAGAATTTGCTTTTTATAAAATAGGCTGAAGTTGAACTAACATTGTTCAGCGTGATAGGGTCAAAACATCTACTTTTGTTTAGACATTTTAATCCGACGTTATTATTTGCACAATGTCCAGATAAAGACTTTTAATACCCAGATAAATTAAATTAGACAAACGTTCTTCCTGAGTGGTTACTTGGAAATACAAAGCTCAGTTATTATTATTTCGGTCAGTCTAAGAGACAACCAATGTTTCACACATCATAAAAGTCAAGTGAAAAAATTCAAGGAGAATCACTTATTTTACAAAACAAATTTTTGAAAACATTGAACTTAAGTAAAATCAAAATAAATCCAAAATATCACAAATCTAGACCGTACTTAAAAAAAAATATATTTTTTACATTGGAGATTCTTTCAAAAAAATTACGTACAAAATCCTAAAATTTCATTGAATCCCACACGCGTTTAAAGACTAAACGAAAATTTAAACGAGTGAAATTGAAATTTACAGCATTTCGCTTAAACCGAAAATAATTTAAAGCCATTAACGACAACGACAGCAGCAACGGCAACAACAATAAAAACCAAGCCACCCAAAAATGCCCAACGAAGTAAGTGGCAACAGCCGAAACACCCTCAACAATGAGCGAGCGAAGACGAGTCGAGAGTCAAACCGAATTCGAGTATACAGAAATGGCAACTACACGAGCAGCCATATACATATGTACTGAGTAAATATATACTTAGATGGTATATAACGCAAAGACACATTTGCTTATTTATACACAAATCACTAATGCTTGGGGCGTCGAATATCAGGAATGCGAGTGACGTTGCGACGCCTAAACTTTGTGCTGTTGGGGTGTGACGACATCCCCCAAGCGCTCGGGTATACATAGAACCAGCGTATATACATATATTGGTATATAAAACATTAGCTATGTATATACATACATATACATTTGTAGATGTAATAAATAAGAACTTATATACTAAGTTTAAAATACATATATACAGTAGAACACATAGTATTTGGAAAGGAATTTTGATACAAAGACCGGCCGGTAGTGGGTTCGGGTCGAGTTGTGTGGTTTTTCAGGAGGTCCTTTTCCCGACACCCATACACTGGCGGCAAGATTGTTGTCAGTTAGTGCCTGTAACTGATGGCTGAAACAAAAAGCGTGCGCGGAGCAGTCGTGGGGCGGGGGAAGTGATTTGCGGAGCCCGCACATAGCGTCATATTGCTTTTGATGGCGAAAACTGCAAACAAGTGTCGAAACAGGCGAGGGAATGCTGACGCGAGTGTGGCGCATGAGAGAGTGCGTTTGCCTAGCTGGGTTTATAACGTGCGCTTGTGTATGAAGGTGTGTCTTGCTAAGAGGGGAAGGCAAAACCGGCCGAAGCGGAAGCAAAGTTACGTATTTTGAGAGAGGAAAATCAATAAAATCAAGGGCAGACAATGAATGCAAAGCGAAGGCAATAAAACCAGCAAACGATTCAACAACAAAACCAACAACACCAGCAACAATAAAAACTATATATAGTACGTAGAGTGTTTGCTGTAATAATTAACGGCATTGGAGCCACCCAAAAGGGGTTTGGATTTCTTTAGAGCTGGCAGCTGCAGTAGTGCATGTCTCTATGGTAGTAAAGGAAATTATCTGGGGGACTTGGCCGCATAGAAACTGCGGGTATAGTATGTATATAGTCGGTGCTTGCTGGTCATTACGGCTTATGTTTTTTTGCTTTAAGCAGAAAAAGCTGTGATAAGTAGGCGTTGCTCAACTTTTAGCGCGAATCTATAATTGGAAATACTATGGCTATCGTGATCCGTATTCCCCAGAATATCCAGTTGCCTAAATAAATTAAGACTACCATCAAATGGCCGTGCTGAATTTAGTAGTCAACATGTCAATAGGTATTTTAATCGATGATAATCAGTTGATTGGTTAATGTCGACAATTAGTGAATGGTTTTGGTAAATGCAAAACAAAAAACAAAAAAACAAAAGTGGAGGTAAAAGACGAGAATTGTATTGAACAAGACAACGCAAAGAATACAAAAAATTAAAAACAGACGTTCTCACTACTTTGGAAGTGTGTACGTCGAAATAGTGTTACGTATTCTTAAAGAAAACAAATAAGAAATTCCTATTCCGATTTTAATAAGAGGGTATTCTAAAAATAGGGAATTATCTGCACTAACAATAGATCAACTGTTAAGAAAATGCTGAAAAGGTAGACCTCGTTTTCCTTCATAGATGGTTGATGATCGAGTCCTGTAGACTATTGAGAACTATTGACAACAGATCTAAGATCCTTAGATATTTTGC